GAGTCATCCCTAGAAGTTGCAGGGCCACCGTGGCGTGTGTCCTCCTTGGGGTGTGTGGCACAACTGGGGACCAACAGCTTCATTTTCTCATTTACTTGGTGGCTGCAGGTCTCTTGGGGAATGGGAGAAAGAGGTCCTTGAGGAGAACGAAGCAGGAGTGACTGCAGGCAGGGGAACTACACAGCCATGCCTGTTTTGGAATTGCTGGAAGGGTGAACCCCGGTGTGTTTTAGGGGTATTTGCACTGGTTTTGCCCTGTGAAAGCCCTGGTTTGCCGTCAGAGCCTGGAGATTAATCTTGGTTTTTAAAACCCACATTAACCTTCATGATACCAACAGGAGGTGGCTCAGGCAGATCCCATCTCCCAGCACAGGAGTTGGGCTCTTCAGCACAGCTGTTGCCTGGCTTGGGTGGCTTTTGGAAGATGAAACCCTTGTAGTGTTCTTCAGGTGTGAGGGTGTGGGGGGATGTTTCTGAAAATCGGGCTCCAAAAGTAGGAAGCTGTCCAAACCAGTCACCATTTCCTGAAATCTGGGCTGCAGCTGTCTAAACACTGACACCAGCTTGCGATCCTGGGGAGCAGCCAACCGCAGGGCCCTCACTCTCCTTGGTCAGCAGGGTTTCAAGGCACGCTCTGTCTAACGTGGGATTGACTCCAGCAACATCCTTCCAGCTGAATCTCTACCTCTAACCTTGATTCAGGACTTGATTCTGGCACTTATGTGTCCTTCCCTTGGATGAGGCTTTGAGCAGCCTGGTCTAGTGGAAGGTGTCCCTGTCCATGTCAGGGGGGGTTGGAACTAGGTGATCTTTAAGGTCCGTTTCAACCTAAAACTTTCTGTGATTCTATGATTATTTTCCACTTACTAATACTTTTTGCAAGAATCCATGGCTTGGTGTCCCAGGGTTGGCACGGAAGGGGGTCAGTGTCCTTCCAGGAACAGTGAGATGTTCAGCATTCCATCTCTGGGAGCAACCCCAGGAACATAAATGTGCTGGTGCAGCTTGTGCTTCACTGAGAACGGAGATGCCACTTTCTCAGAAGTGACCTGGGTGAATCTAAAGCAGCTCACAGCGAGGTGTAGTGGTCAATTTCCCGTAATTTAGAGCGGAAACTTCCTCAAAATCTTGCAGTGGTGTCAGGGTGGAAGTGGGTTGTTATGTCGGAAGAGATCATGTTCATTTACTTTCAAGTTTTAATGTGTGGGAGTAAGGAAACCAGAATTATTTTTTTCATATATGTGTAGACAGCTGTCCCCATGCTGCAGGCAAAGGCCGAGGAGTGCAGGACACAAAATACTTGTCAGAAGGTGACAGAAATTTAGACCTATGACCTAAAGGAAAACCCTTGATGATGTGATGTTTGCCTTTCCCGTGTGAATTGGAACAACATCTTGATCCCCTTCACTTTTTTCTTTTGCTCCTAGGCAGCCACTTGTCAAATGCAACTTCAAAGGTGGCAACAACAACCGCTGCCGCCTCGCTGGATGCTGCCCGTTCGAGCGACTACCCGTACAAGTACTTGGACAAGGAGGATTACATGCAGTATGGCCTCTGCACCAAAGAAGAGGTGCTCTCCTTTAGCAGAGTGTTCTTGCCAGCTTTTTACACTGTGATCTTCCTGGTCGGCTTGGCCGGGAATGCTCTCCTGTTCATTGTCCTCATTGGGTACATAAAGAAGAAAAAGAAGATGACCGAGGTGTATCTGCT